AACACTACAATTACTTCCATTACCCACTGCTGAGCTCTTCATTACTCCTCTCCTGAACCTTGTAATACCAAAGGGAACTGTGGTCTCCTGATGTTGCTGAACTATAGCACCCATCATTCCCAGCCCCATGGCCAGTGGCAAGAGATACTGAGTATAGAATTTCTGAAGGACTACAGGATCCCCACTCCTGCTCTGCATGATACTAGAACAGAGTTCCCAACAATTGTGAAATAATGGACTATTCTGCTATTGTTTCTTTAGCGTGAATCTAATCTGCAGAAAGCAGCAGGTGCAGGTTTCATGTGAAAGCAGTATGTTTTAAGCAAATGAAGTTGAAACTTACACATCAGATTTAATAGGGCATAAAGAGAAACTAGCAGACCATCTTCCAAGTGTTACAGGCATAAGTCCTGAGTATTTAACAAGGATCAATGGGGCTATGCTAGTTTACACTGGTGCAATAGAAGGTCAAATAAGATTCCATAGGTAGGCAGGTTAAATTAAAAGCAACAGTCATGCCTGCATTACTTTAAAATAAATGATCCCAAGCTTACTCAGCCCCTAGAGAGGTACCATGGTTTTCCTATAGTTTTTTTCAGAGAGTGTGTCCAGTGGTTTTAGGTCAATGGGGCAAAATCCAGAATTCCCTGCTGATTTGTAGGGGCTTTAGATAACGATCCACCTAAACAGTGGTTTGGAAATAGGCAAAGCTAATTAGAAAAGAATCGATTGAACTTTCTATTGGCTGCAAAGCTCTACTTGATGTTAGAATGATTGATGACTTCCATGCTGGGCTGCTGGGACCTAAAAGAGGGAAAAAAGGAAGTGTAGGGAAGATATTCCTGGTTTTTTAAAGTCTAAGAGTGGAAAAGAAAGAGTAGGCAATAAGCATTTTCCTGGGAACATGGAAGGTCAATAATACATCTCTTCATGCCAAATCAATGCTACCTACTTTCATATGTTTACCTTGATGGTTAGAACAAGAATATCTAACTATATAGCGGCCTTTAATTTGGAAAAGGAAAAGAAATTATACTGTTGTGAGTTTTACCTTCTTGGTTATTTTAGATGTCTGATCATGGAATGCTCTGACATTTACTTCCCATAACATATGGGAAGTACTAGGAAACTCACCTTCAACTCTACCTGCTGAGGAAATGATTATGTCAGATGTTGTCTAGGATTGCATAAATATAAAAGCCAACACGTAACCTTCAATGTAGTTGTTGGATTTACTGTTTTGCTTACTAGGCCTAGATAACTTAATTGAAGATTCTTATTCTGTAGCCTTGAGTGTGTGGCCACTTCCCAGCTTCAATTCTTTTTCACCATAATATAGGAGGAAGAAAAATGTATCCTACAGATTTGATAAAGCATTGACTGAGGCTCAAATTACATATGATATTATCTGAGTTTTCACATTTATTGTCTGCATTTTTAAAGGCAACCAAAATTGCTAAGTGCCAACAAGAGTTTCTCTCTTAGATGGTCTCCTTGAAGAAGTCATTTTTGCAAGGACAGGGTGAGTGAGGAAAGGCAGGCTTTTATTGCCTGCTTGCTACACTGTATCTCACAATGACCAACTTCCAGCATCTACTATTTGCATTTAAAAATATAAAGATTAAAGGTTAGGAGCTCATCTAGCGTTGCATCAAATTTCCCCTCAAGATAAGGATTTATGCTGTATATATGTAAGAATTGCTGTGGAAAAATACATATCTACTATTTGCATTTAAAAATATAAAGATTAAAGGTTAGGAGCTCATCTAGCGTTGCAATTTCCCCTCAAGATAAGGATTTATGCTGTATATATGTAAGAATTGCTGTGGAAAAATACATATCTACTATTTGCATTTAAAAATATAAAGATTAAAGGTTAGGAGCTCATCTAGCGTTGCAATTTCCCCTCAAGATAAGGATTTATGCTGTATATATGTAAGAATTGCTGTGGAAAAATACATAATGATGAAGATAATAGCAACAACAACAA